TCTTCGCTTCTCACGTCAGATTTGACATTACCGGTACATTACTTTGTTAGATAAAATATATTATTAAGTCTAAGAAAACTGCTATTAACAATATAAGAGGTTCTACCCGCAAATTCACGGGTGTACAGAAGCCACCATTAAATTAATTTAATCAACTTTGACTTTATATTTCATTTAAAGGGCCCAAGTTCGAGAAATTGTCATCTGAAAGGATGGTAAAAAAGCATTGGAGCCTTCAAACCTTACGTCCTAAGGTGGGTAGGGTTGTACCTGAACTCGCCGCTCTCTTTCACGTCTTTAATACTTTACTTACTTGTCAATGAAATGGCGACCTGTTAAAAATCGGTTACAACCTCTTGGAACGAACGATATACATGTTTTGTTAACCTCATATTCATCGTGTTTCGAACACCTTTAACCACTCACTTGTATCAAACGGCTAGAGATAGCTTCACTGTCTATTCACCGCACCTCTTTTAAGAACATAAACCAACAAACTATATTGTAAATTGCATTGGCCAGCTGTTGTTCACTAAATTACTCAAATAACGTTAACTTCCAAAACATGCAAGGCGTAGCCCTTTGGAAATCAGTCTGTGGGGCAGACCTCTTAGGGAGTTTGTCCATATCAAAACTTTTCAGAAAATCTACACACTCTAAGCTTCATTTTGATATTCCATATGTCTATATTTTTATTTGGTAAATGGCCTTAACCGTTTACATAACATTTGTTTGCATCACTTTAATATGTTCCTACCCATATAACACATGTACATCAATTGAACATTAAATTGATGTTCAAGAATGTTCAACTGAACATCGTATGCACATTCATGTTTGTACAAATTACGACTTTAACGTTCAATTATTGTACAAACGTCACAAACATCGATATACATATGATGTGCGTATCTCGATCAATTGATGATCAATTTTACATCAAATTGTTATTCAATTTAGGTTAAATTAAGATTCAATTGGACATCTAGTGAACATCATATGCACATTCATGTTTGTACAAATTGAGACTATTTAATGTTCAATGAATGTACAAACGTCACAAACATTGATGTGTATATTTAGTCCAATTGATGATCAATTTGATATAAAACTGTAATTCGATTTATGTACAATTGGACATTACGATTATTTGACTAAAACAGTGAAAAGCCGCAATCTTTGGTGACACACAAAGTGTCTGGTTCAGTTATCTATTTCAACTATAAATTTTACATTAAAAAATAAATCTATTTTTCAACTTTTGGTGGATAAAAACTCAAAGTTTAGACAAAACTATTTATTATATTCTATGCAAGTTAAAACCAAATTATGTAAAGAAATTACAAAAACTTATAAAATCAAATAAAATGGAAATAAATGTTTCTTCGTCCACTCCAATCCTAATCATTGATGGTTGCGACAGCAGCACTTTTTGCCCTGAAACAAATATAATAGATTAACTTAATTATCGGTATGATTGTAGTCAATATTAATCATGGTGGGGTCTTGAATGATCAGGACTGCTTGTCAAAGAGTAGAGTTTAACATTATTCATTTTATTTAAATATTTGCATAGGCCTAAGGCATTATTTCAAAATATTCTAATAAGAACGTGTAATAAATTGACGTGACAACAAATCAGCTAAGTTATTAAAAACACACATTATCTTCGAATGTAAATGTTCCGGGCTCCTGCATGTGCTGACAGTTTAATCGGTTAGTATGAAAAACACAAAATGTGAACACATCGACAGTTTGATTGCCGATACACATTGAAGTAGCCTACACAAAATTTAGTCTATAAGTAAGTTAGGCCTACTTTGTTCTTACTAATCAATCTTAGTCGTTCTTATTTATAATTTGTCGATTGGATTTGATTCTACGACTAATAACATAATATAACACATAATATACGAATAATAACACTTTTGAATAATTTAAAACAATGATATTATTGCATTGTGGTTGGGTTGGGTTAGATAAGGACTCAGGGTCTCGGCGCGTCAACCATAGCGTATTATGCATTACATTCTTACTTTTGTTTTACATTAAATAGGCCTAGGTCTACTCAATGAATGTACCATTATTGCTATATGATTACCGTAACTAATTGAAGGTAAAATAACTTAGGTACCGGTAATCAATAGATTGACTTGTTTGTAAACACCAATAGTAATATGAGGCGATGAATTTGAATATCAAAGTTTTAACTCAATTAGCCTACACTATGTATTGGCTAAATCTTAGAGGGTTATAGATGGTATTAACTTAGGCCTATTATTATTTGAAATTGGTTAAGTTCACTTTGGTTTTTTTTTTCAATTTGTTTGGTTATAACTTTTATAAGTAAATAAGGCCTATTGCTTTATAAAAAAAAAAAAAAACGCAGATTAGAGGATACGCGTCTGGTTACTGAATGTGGATTACTTAGGCACCCGGCATTGACGTCACCGGGTTGTGGGGGACCGGAACACCATTTCCACAATGATACGATATTTAGCCATTGGTGTTCGTGGTGTGTAGATAAAGTACATGGCTGATGTACATGAGGTATCTAGATCGAATCACATCGGTGATAGGCCCTAGAAGTTAAACTGAACTTCAAGTAAGTAAGTAAGTATCAAGTTACTAACTTTTTGTCAAAGATTTTGCTTAGAATACCATTTCTTCTTAACTGTACATCTTTGGTTAGAATTTTTGGCATTTATTTTTATTTTATGAACAGAATTTAACCTTCATTTGATTTGTTCATTATCAGCAAGTTTGGTTGGTTAGGTTAGGTTATGACTGTAGGCATAACTGCCGGACGCATAATCCACGTCCACGGTCCCGGTTGCGTATCCTCTGCGAAAAGGATAACTTAACCTAATGTTATTCTTAAGCAAGTGAGCAAGTTAACTTATTCTTAGAACAAAACAGAAAACATTTTTTTAGTTTATTATGAATTTCTGTAATTTATAAGTTAACTGTAGGCCTAAGTTTATTCCCAGCATACAAATTAACGATAACAAAATTAAATTTAAGATGCTCATGATACTTAAAATCAATAACTTAGTTTCACATACCGGTAGGCTATTACCACCTATGTTTTATTAGTAATAAAGGGTACGGTACAGTTTCTTAACTGGGCTATGCTGATATCGATTGAAACTATCGATTCGATTAGTAAACCTTCATGCGATTTTTTCACCGTCAGCAAGTTTGGTTGGTTAGGTTAGGTTATGATAGTTTAATTTTACATTATAATAAGATACATTTTAAAATATCGATTACTAACCAATATTTCCAATTCGATAGTTTCAATCGATATTAGCATAGCCCAGTTAAGAAACTGTACCTGTAATAAATCTTGTAATAAGATCTGGGTACAGTTTCTTAACTGGGCTAGCTTATATCAATTGAAACTATCGAATTGTAAATATTGATTAATAATCGATATTTTTAAAATATATATCTTTTTTAATATATTTTAAATATTTTTAAATATATCTATTATAAAATTAAACTATCATAACCTAACCTAACCAACCAAACTTGCTGATGGTGAAAAAATCGCATGAAAGTTTGCTAATCGAATCGATAGTTTCAATCGATATTAGCATAGCCCAGTTAAGAAACTGTACCCTAAGATCTAAAACCCTTAAAAATTTTGTTGGATTATTTTATTCTCAGTTGGCCTATATGGTGATTCACAAAAGTAAGTTATTTACCTTGCCTAGCCCCTAGCTGCATGCCATTAATGTATTTTTAAAACAACTAAGTTATGACAATCGTGTGATGTGTAAATAAGTTTTAATGAAAAATTAGATTAGGTAAGTTTACTGGTCTAAAAGCTTAAAAACAGGTTGATAAAAGGGCCTAAACGTACTTGATTTCTATCTCAACAACACAGTAGAGTCCCGCAAACTCGGCACTCGATAACCCGGCAGTCTGGATAACTCGGCCATCACCTGGCTCAGAAAATTAGTGATTTTTTGAGTCCGAGTTAAACATGGGCTCAAGTCAAAGCATTTGCAACTCGTGACAAGGATTTGTTGTACTATATCTGATGACTTAATACCTACTTGTAAAATAAATGTAAATAAATAAGGCAGCTAAAAGGAATAAAAATTGTATTGTTCTTATTTTTAACCCTAGTTCCCGATAACCCGGCATTTCACAAACTCGGCACCCTTCCAGTCCACATTGCGCCGAGTTTGTGGGACTCTACTGCATTAGCAAACAAGAGACCCTCTGTGTAATTTAATTAGACACTCAGGTGTGTGTTGTAAGTTACGGGGGAGGCCGAGATTTTGAATGTCCTGTTTTTATTCTGAAACAACCTGGTCATCCTACTCTGGGCCTGACTTTTACAAACACAAATCAATGACTAGCCTATGCCTAGCCTATATTAACTAAGCAAATCAGGTTAAGATTAGGTTTTTCTGGGTTTGGACTATCATGTGGTCCATAATACAAATTAAAAATAGCCATAACTTAAGCCTAATTATTAATACCTCAAAAGTTAATTAGGAATAATTACTTACCTTTAACTTTAAACTGTATGTAGGCCTATAAATAAATAGTAAACTTAAACTTAGTAACTTAGTTGAAGTGAAGGAGGAGAGTGATGAGGAAAGCACATAAACATAAACAAACGGCAGCCGACAGCCATACAATAACGAAAGTCGAAACGATACGATAGTGATAAACTTAGTACGAGTACGATATTCCACCTTCAACAGATCGCTCAATCGATTACGTCAACAACTTTTTTTCTGACAGCTGACGTCATCGAATCCTCTTCTGTACCTCCCTTGAGTAAATCCCTAACTCTGGGCGGTGGCGGTAGATTGTAGATGTAGCTGATTCGCTGATTGGTTCTTGCTCATGCTTTTTCTTCTTGATATTTCGTTTTTGAAATGTTTTTGTGTTTGTGGGTGGTCCGGTTTCGGTCCGGTGGTTGGTTCTGGTTGGTCGGTTGGTGTGGTGGTTTAGTGTAGTTTCTAACTTTTTTTTAGTTGATTCAAATCAAAATGTGCATAACGTTTCTGCTTCTTAAATTAATTATTGGTTAATAATTGTAGTGCGTTCTTTTTAAAACTCTCTGTTGTGATTAATATGTCATCCAGTGTCATGTGTGTTTAATCTAATCTTGAAGTGAATAGCTCAGAACAACCCTTTATTTACTTCGGAGCCATGGTCATTATGGTTACGGTTGAGGTTAATTCAACTGGATATTACAATTTCCAAGTTACTTGCCCTATTTTACATGCTTGACTAATGACTACATTATTGAATAACTATTTTCAAAATATTTAGAGACAATTCTTTCTTCATCCATACCAAAAAGTCTAAGCTAGGCCTATATGCCATATTTTATTATGGGTAGTAAAATTAACATTGATTCAATTTGTTTAATAATTTGTATGGCACATTTTCTAGTAATTAGCTGATGAGCTTATGCTGAACTTCTAAACAAAGAAAAATGGATAGTGATTCATCTCAAGAATTAAGTGATGATTGGACTTTAGCAAAGAGATTGAAGTATGATGATCCTGTTCAATTTCACACTTTAGTTAGAATGCACCTGTCATTTGTTTTGGATTTAAATACTGACGAGTAAGTGGTAGCAATTATAGCCCTATTTGTTAATTTTGAGTTAATTAGGCTCAAGTAATTAGGCTAGGCCAGCCCTACTTGAAAAAACTAGGCCTAAGTTAAAGGGTGAGTGGGTACAGTTTCTTAACTGGGCTAGCCTAACTTGAAACGCTAATTTTGATTGAAAATATTGATTCTATTTGTATAAACCTTCATTCGATTTTTTCATTATCAGCAAGTTTGGTTGGTTAGGTTAAGTTATAACAGTTCAATTTTATAATTGATAGCCTAAGTTAGCCCTACAGTTAGAAAAAAATCGAATGAAGGTTTACTAACCGAATTGGTATTTTCAATTGATATTAGCGTAGGCCAGTTAAGAAACTGTACCCGGTTGAGTTAAATAGGTCTAAGCCAAGTGGTTAGTGTCTCGGCACTTCAGTGTGGGAGGAATGGTGTTTGGTTTCCAGCACATCCAAAACCCATGGACTGATCCCTAAAAGTGATAGAAAGAACCTTTAGGTTACTGTAGTAAAGCCGTGTAAACACAAAGCCAGTTGGCAGGCAGGTTACCTGCCTCAGGTAACTTATCTTGAAATTAACTAGTGGCAGCTAACCTGCCTGTCTCATGTGAACATGGCTAAACTGTTAAAATTGCCATCATTGTAGCCTACAAGTGATCTAAATCTAGGCCTACCAATTTAATGACAAATATACCTAGGCTAATGTTAAAATTAACCTATAGGCCTAAGGAAAGCTTTAAAAATAATACCTGCAAAAAAATACCTTAAATTTCTCCTATGTTACTATGCAATAGGCTAGGCCTAATGTAGCTTTAAGGTATTGGTAAATGTTTATTATAACTTTTTTTATTAAGTTAATAAGATCCTATAGGCCACAGTAACTTCATTCATTTCTGATTTTACTGGCATTGGAAATCGTAAACTGTAGAATTAGCTTAAATTTAGGCTTGGCTAGTTTTTTTTGGTCAACCAATTCTCGTCATCATTTAACTTACGGTATGTCATTGGAATTGTTATCTTAACCCATGTCAACAACATATATGCATAGGTTATTAGTTAGGTACCGATTACCGGTACTAGCTTTTGATAGGCTATTGTTGGAATGTAGGCCCTACAGCTTGTTTAAGGATTGAAAAACCAAACAAAAAAATGCCCAGTAAGTTAGCAAAGGATGCTTATCCCGCATGCACGGGCTGATGGGTGAACAGCTGGCAGGTTAAAAAAATGTGTTTAAGTGAACACATTTTCCTAGCGCCAGGAAGGATAATATGGGTTTGTCATATCAAAATCTATTTTTGACTATTTAATGGACGTATAAGTTAAGAGTTTTCTTTAATTTCTTTATTACTGGAGTCATCTGTGCAATAAACAGTGGTTGAGTGGTTGGAACAACCACAAACGGTATCCATATGGTCCCGGTTCGGCAATTGGAAAAAGTCCTCATCACCCAGGTGACTCAATGTCTGTAAACGTATGTAAACATAAAATGCAAGCTGGTTTTTTACTCACAATAGGAACTGTACAATATTTAAAAAGTAGGTTTAGCCTATATCTTTATATTTAGATTTCATAACCAACTTGTTTTATTTCAGTTGTGATAGCCAGCCTGAAAAGTCCAAGCTTAGGTCACTGAAATGGAGTTTTGTACCATTCACAAAGAAAATAAAAACAACAGGGAAGAGTCAAGAAGGAATGCAATTGACAAAAGATGGAATGTCACAAGTATATCAACTTATAGAATACCTCAGCCAAGATGAAAGTAAGTTTGCTAACTAACTTAGCCATATTAGTTTATAGCCTAACTTCACGTTTTTAATGAGCTCAATAGTTTTCCACCTGTTATAAGTTGGCGTTTGACCTAGTTTCTGATAGGCCTACTTAAGGCGTGTTTACACCGGAGTTAGTAACATTAAGTTAATTGACTTTAGTTATTAACCGGCAGTCATTAACAAAAAATAATAACAGAAAGTTATTAAGAAATTATTTTGTAGGCTACTTCAGTTTTTGTTAAAAACATTTAGGCTATGTTTAACACATTAAGTAACTCCGCCATCTTGAATCATCGCTCATGCACAGCCAGCAGTTGTAGATGAGACAATGGTGCGAGAGGATGACTTGGTTCTTGCTGCAGCTGCGTGCGTTGTTTTGGCCACTGCTGGCCAAAGGAGACCTAGGAGATACTGGGTGAAACTGTCAGTCACTCAGAACAAGGACTATGTACAGTGGGAGTGATATGCAAGAAGATGATCGTGACCCTCTTTCAGGCGAGTTAAGGAAGCATCAATAATTTCCTCAGCATGACCAGCTGTGATGTTGAGTGGTACTGAGGGGCGACTAGCGCACTCTCTGTAAAACGATACCGGTACTGGGAGCGGGGGTTGCGGGGAAGAGAGGGACCTGTTATTAACAAAAAATAACACGTTAAAAGAGACCATTAACTTTTGTTACTAACATTTGTTAAAAATATAACACATTTCCTGTGATCTTTACCGACTCCTATTTAGATAATTACTTTTGTTTAGACAAATTTTTGGGCGATTCTGTTAAGTTAATAACTTTTTGTTAAAAACACATGTTATTAACTCCGGTGTAAACGCAGCTTAATATGGTATTTCAGAGAAAAGATGCACAGTGATGTAAGAATGTACCTACAATCTATTGTGCCCCTGCTTCTTAGTTCTAGAGTTTCCAATGGAGCACCCTCTCCAGCCTCAATGCCTTTGGAAAATTAAGTAGTAAGATCTTTGAAGCTAAACCTTGGTGGTTTGGACCGTCTTTGCAAGTTTGATAGCGTGTCCACTGTTAGCATCACCCACCCTCATTTTTGCACCTCATAAGCCTAACTTTTTTGGGTACAATCCCTCAGGAAATCTGAGAATTATACATAAATCTCTACTGCTTACCGTCTAGCTTAAAATCCCCACTTTGAGTTATCAATCACATTTGGCTTGCACCAGAAGCTACTGAAAAAGAAGTTGGCCAGGGCAGATCTCCGTGTGTCTGGACAAGGCATACTTGATATAATATGGCACCTGGTAATTTCAATACACCAAATAAACAAGTCTGGTGCAATCCGCCCCATGGGATAGTTCATTGCTTCATTGGTATTGTAGTCATGGGATGGGTTTGATTGCATTATAAAATCACCTAGGATTATCAAGCTCTTTCAAAGGGCGTGTCTTAGCCACCGCCACTTCTTATTTCGAATCTCTAAGTCTATCTTTTGTTGTCCTATGCATTCCCATAGCTGCTCATTTGAGATAGTGTCAAGTCCATTTTTCACCCTGTCAGCGCCCTAGGCCAAAATAATAGTAGTGCCCATTTGCATAGCAGGATCCAGGAACTATACGTAAGTTTTTTTTACCGGGAATTATGTGTGAATTTGGTATTTCTACCTGGAATTTTCAATTTAAGTTACCACGATCACGCATGACAACAGTGACGTAACCATGACCGCGGGAGGTATGTTTACTCACGGTATGTTATATATGTTTACTCACGACTGCGAGGAATGATCAGAATTTCGATGCGATCACAAAAGACGATAATGTCTACACAATCGCAGGAAATGATCATGATTTTGTCGCGATCCCGCAAGATTATGATGTTATCTACTTACTACAGAGCCCAGAGGGATGATCAGAATATTTCCGCGATCACAGAAGACGATGATAATGTCCACACGACCATGGGAAACAGAGAGACATAATTGTGCTGTGATTGCGGAAGACAATGATGATTTTCCAACGACTGCGGTATATGATTAACATTTTTCCGCAATCGCGGGAGACAATTACAATGTCTTCACGACCGCGGGAGACGATTACAATGTATCGTCGTACCGCGGCAGATACAATAATGATGTCTACATGGCCGAGGGGGATGATTTTGCCTCATTCGTGGAAGACGATGATGATCTCCACAAGACTGCAGGATATGTCCATATATGTTATGCCATGATCATGGAAGACGATAATTCTATATGACAGCGGGAAAATTCGGCAAAATTTCTGACAAAAACGACTGCAGGAATGAATTAATATGTTGTCGCAATTGCGGGAGACGAAACGATGTCTACTCGCCCACGGGAGACAATAATGATGTCTACTTGTCCGCGAGGGATTATCAGAAGTTTACCGAGATCGCATGCAAATACAAACCACAAATTTTTAAAATTTTCCAATTTTGTTGGCACCCCCCGAATAAATCAACTGCCTCACGCCCTAGGTACCTATTCAGTAAATCGGCCCTGGATAGTGTTTGGCCTGATTTTTTTTTAGCAGATGTTTGTTTACATTTTATGATTTATTTATTACTAGGGTACCGGTAATTATGTAATAAAACCCCCATTAGAAGTCTCAAACCCATTAACATTTTATCACGACAATCAAGTGTCAAGTCAAGTACATCCAAGAACTCGTTGAGTCAGTAGTTAAGCTCATAAAAGTTGTATCACTTTTATTCCTTTGCAACTTCTTTTATTATTTATTACTAGGGTAATTATTATGAGATCCCAAACCTATTTTATCATGGAAATAATAGTTTGGCTGGCCATTGCCTTTTGCCATCAAAATTGTAACTTAATTTTAAAATAGTTGTTTAGCCTCCTGATTACTGTATTATAAATAAAATGGTTTACAATACCTACATATAGTCATCATTTGTTGCTGCTTTTAGCAACTAGTTTCGGTTCTTCTGAACCATCATCAGGCCTCAAGGTAATCACTTCTTTCAAAAGGTCGTTAACAAACAGAGTTCAATAAATAAAACATATACGAAACATGATAACACGGAACGGACACACGTTTACAAAAAACATGAAAAACACAAAGGGACATTGACATAATCGATCATAACTGGGCTGAGGTAAAGTCTAGCCTCTATTCTAGGCAACTCGGCAGAGTTGATGTTTATATAACGATAATGTTATTAGTTTATTGTACCGTAACTAATATTTTGAGAACCAGTTAAAAAATCACTATGGCACAAAATATTGTATGCCTGACTACTCATGTTCAAGTCATTGAAAAATATTAATTGTCTTATATTGTCTTTTTCTTATAAAAGTTTTTGTATTTTAATGTCGTCGTCTCCCTAAAGTCACTAAATTCAGTTTGATCAACTGGCAGACACGCTGTATTTTTTCATGTCTTCTAAAAGTATTTTCCAAAAAATTGTTTTTAGGAAACATACACAGCCTTAACTTAACAGAAGTTCTATTTCAAGTTTTAGCTACAATTGTAAGTTAAGTTTTCTTCAATATGTACATAAATTTATCCATATATCCAATAGCAAATAAAACTATAAAGTAGCCTAATAAATTCAATCTATTTGTTTCCCTGTTCAAACTACTGTAAATGATTAGCACCAGAGCCTATGTATTTGAATGTATTTGGCCTTGGTATTTGGTGTAATCAATCATAAAAATATAATGGAGCTTCTTTCTATGATTTCTAGATGTGGTTCAAGAAGGAATATTCAGAAGAACAGGAAAATTAACTCGTCAACAAGAATTGAAATCACTACTCAACAGTGGTGCATTGGTTGATTTTGGTGAAAGTTTATATTCAGTTCATGACTGTGCTTCGGTTCTCAAAACAATACTAGCTGAACTGCAGGAACCTTTACTGACAGAAACTTACTTTCCAGCCTATTGTCAAATAGCAGGTAAGTTGATACTACTACACCATTCCATACGTTAGGTATCAAATATTATATCATAATAATAGGACTAGAGATAAGGACGCTTTCAAGATTCAAAATGTTTATTGTCGCCTACTCGTTAGGCATTCAATGATGCATATGACGTTACCAGATATTAAATATAAACATTTCTAAAAACTAAATATTATAAGAGACAGAGTGCAAAATTATCCTAGTTGGAAGAATAAAAGGAAAGTTAACATTTGTACATTCATTGTATCATTACTCTAAACACTTTAAGTAATAACAATCTACTTATAAAATTAAACATTAAATAATAAAAACATGGATAAACTTTAAACAGAGAGAAAAATAAACAATAAAAATAATCAACAATTACTACCACATTTTCATAATAGTTTAATTTTGAACCTTAGCATAAAATTAAATTAAATTATGTCATAGGGGAGAAAGTAAAAATTAGTCAGTGGTAACAATAAAAATCTAAGCTATTGCTTAAGGCACATATCTAAAAGACACAATTGACATACGGTATTATGATTCTGTGGTTCACACTAAGGACAGTGACACCAGTGTATTTATTATGTATGTTGACTTTAAGACATGAGGAAGCTATAGTTACAGCAGTAATGAAAATATAGGCTAAATATTTACTGACTGTGTTGTTTTAAATTTGGTTCTCTTTAACACGTTCGCTACTGCAATAGTACGAAATTGTTCATTCAAATGGACTAGCGACGCACATATGCGACGGCCAGTTTCCACCCATAGACTGCCGTCGCATATATGCGTCGGCTAGTCACATTAAAATAGACTGCCGTTGCATATTTGCGTCGGGGTTCTAATGTTATTAAAACGCTCATATCTTTGTAACGGTCTATTTGAAGGCCTCCCTGCAGTGGTCTACAGAGATGTCTGACGCATAACTGCGTCGCTTGGTCTGTGGATATGATATTTGGTGATGTCATATGATAGTTGAAAAAAACTGGTCTTTACTTTTCTGCATCCCTGTGCAGTATGTATGCTGCATTATCCTATGTAGCTTTTATATTTGTTCAGTTATAACTGTTCTTGTATTTTTTACTTACTTTCACCTCAAAACACAAACAAAAATGAACTGTCGCATATACAGGGTGATTGATATAAATGTGCCAGCCGTTTTATTCTAAAACTATAAGAGATATCAAAAAAAGTTAAATGGTAAGTGCCTTGGATTTTTTATTTTAAAAATTTTAGTCAAGTCAAGAAAATTATTTTAGCCGCCATTTTTTCAATATGGCCGCCAACTTTGATTTTTCTTACGGAACACCCTGTATTTTACGATGTATTCCGGTAGGAAATGTAATTTTAAGACGATTTTATTTTTGTGATTTTTTTCATAAACCTAACCGTTTCAAAGATAATTAAAGTTTTAAAAATTAGGCATAAGAAAGAGTTTCGATAAAGGCCTAAGCAAGCATGCCAGCTGTTTTATTCAAAAACTATTCAAAATTTCACAACTTCAACCATTATTATCTTTGAAACGGTTAGGTTTATGAAAAAAATCACAAGAATAGAATCGTCTTAAAATTACATTTTCTACCGTAATACATCATGAAATACAGGAAAAATCCATAAGAAAAATCAAAGTTGGCGGCCTTATTGGAAAAATGGCGGCTAAAAATTTTTTTTGACTTGACTACAATTTTTAAAATAAAAAGTCCAAGGCACTTACCATTTAACTTTTTTTGATATCTCTTATGGCTTTCGAATAAAACGGCTGGCACACTTATATCAATCACCCTGTATGCGCAGTTTGGTCTAATTCAAGAAAACTATGATAATTTTCACTATTGTCTTCGCTATAGACCGGGCGTCGCAAATATGCAACATTACAAAAGGTTATATAAAATACAAAAAAACAAGAATAAATTATTTACAAAATACGATTGTTGCGTTTTACAATGTAAATGATCACTGTTTTACAGGTTTTCGCCCGTGGTCTGAGTGTACTGTTAACCAAGTGTGGGCCGGTCTATGTTTAAGATTCAAATGTATACCTTGGTCTGTGACAATGACCGTGGCGTCGCATATATGCAACGCTCAGTAGCGGACGTGTTAAACAACCTTGTCTAATTGAACTGGAGTCAAGATAAAACAAGGTTGCCTATTGGCCTAGTCTTAAAGATGGTTGTTATACATTTTTCAATTATTGTTGCAAATTGTAAACTATTGTTTATGTATTTGAATTATTGTTGTAAATCTTGAATTAGTTACTGTTGTACGTTTGTTTTTTATTGTTGTTATAATTTTAAATATTGTTGTAGGCCTATATAAAGTATTGTTTTCGTCAAAATTTTCGAGTTTGAGTTTTGAGTGAATACATCTGTTTTGGGTCCCCCTGGACCCAAAAAAATGGTTTTCAAAGTGATGTCTGTGTGTGTGTCTGGATGTGTACAGAGCTAGGGACTACACCTGTGGTCCGATTTCGATGAAATTTAGTGTGTAGGTTCTAATGCATGGTATCTCCAGGCGTTTTTTTAAAATTTGTTTTAAATTTTGATTTTTAATGTTGATTTTCCCATAAAAACCCATAAAATAATGGAAATCAGATTTTCTCAAAAATGCCCCTAACGATTTTGATAAAGATTTAGTATGTTGTAGCCTTTTAAATTCTGAAAACAATGGTACGACTTTCATTTTTGTAAAAATTACGGTTAAAAAGTTATTGTAGGTAAATTATGTTATTTTCCCATAAAAACCCCATAAAATAACAAAAAATAGGAATTTAGAAAAAACCGGTTTTTATATAACTTGGTAGGCCTATGTCATGGTCCTTAAAATTTTGAAAGTTTTTTTTATTTTTTTGAAATTTAGATCTTTAATGGGGATTTTCCCATAAAACCCCATAAAATAACAGAAAAATCGGATTTTTTTAGAAAAGCTGGTTTTGATCAAAATTAATATGTTATGGTCCTTATAATTCTAAAAAGAATAGTACAACAACCCCATTGCTGTAACAATTACGGTTCAAAAGTTATTGCAACTTTTGTGATTTTTTAAACTAAACAGTAATCTTTTTAAATATCATACCACTTACCCATGATAAAGGTTGTTGACAAGCTTATGGGAGACAGTATGTGTCAGAATGCTGATACGGACGCGTTGCAGAAAGTCAACAGTCCCGGAAGGTCAAATAATTTATACCTGTGCCGCTAGGTCAAAAACTAGGCCTACAATGTTTGCAGTGTCTGTAGATCAAAAATCCCAGTAAGTCAAATAGTACAGTCCGGGCTAAAAACGTAGTCTATGTTAAAGCAATTGACTTATTGGGAATTTGACCTAATGCAACAGCAGTTTTAATACAACGAAATAAGATAAAATATAAGTTCAGTTTCGCTGAGTCAACAGTGCCGGAAGGTCAAAAGTATAATCTTTTAAAAACAGCGATAGTCCTCTCGACGCATGACTTCAACAATTTCTTGTTTTGGTGTACTTAAAGTTGTGCTAAAATTTTGAAAGTTGGCACAGAGCTTCTTGGTTAGTCCTACTCGATGACAGTTTTGTTGGAACTTTAATTATTTACCGAAATTGATATGTATGGTGAAATATTTTTAAATCGTGATTTCTAACATGAAAAAGTTAGCATGCGAGATTTTTGTTTGTTTTTGGGTTAGAGAGATGTTTTGTCTGTGGCAAAGTTGTAGCTAAAAGTGCGATGCGTAAAATATTTTTTTTTAAATTTTTTACAATAACTGGTTCAATAGATAACTTGGGTTGAAGAGGACGGCAAATTTAGCGTTTCGCAACACATGGAAAGAACTACATCGTACGATGCGACTGCTGATTGGACTTTTAATTTACAGTTCTAAGGACAAGAAAAAGATGAATATACAAATAATCAGTACATTCATATTATTTATAAAACATCTTTCTGTATTACCAGCTTACATTTTTCACTTATAAGAATACATCATAAACAGGGTGTTAAAATAAGCGGGGAGATACTTTACCTAGTAATTCCTTGGGTCAAAATAAACAGAAAATCAAGGATAACATTTTTTTCCAAAATCGTTTCGTTAACCAGATATCCACCATTTTGTATTTTTTACATACAAATATTTATCTTTGCACTTTTCCAACCGATGTTTATGAAACTTGGTATGTATGTTAAGGTAGGAGAGACCCATGTTATAAAAAAAGATTCATCTCGATTCACCCTAAAATTTCAAAATTTAACACTTAACTACAATATAATATACTTTACTACACCACAATATTTACGTATCACCATAAATCTTTAACAAAATAAAACGTTAACATGTTTAAAATCCAAAGTAAATCAATATATTTCTTAAAAAAAAAATATATTTAAAAAAAGGCGATGGTAAAATAACGACAGGCGAGTTTCGATCTGGGTGTTTCAGGTTTGAATCTAGGAGGATTTAACATTAATTAACATTAATGTTTAATCCTCCTAGGTTTGAACTGATTGAGAGGAATACATGAAACCGAAGGGGGGAGGTAGCAACAAGTGCACTAGTATTTACTAGTGTCCAATTACAATTTGATGGATTTAACCAAAACCTTTTCTATTTCACTTATTTTCAGCTGTTAAATTTCAAACGATACGTTTTAGCGACATTATTAACGTTATTATCATCATCATCGTTTGAGTTTGGGTTTGCGGCAAATGTATTTTTATGAATAAAAACTTTAATTTGATACCAAACTTGACCTCTGCTGCTATTAATTGACTGTATGCACTATCAATTAACATCTGTGTCCAAGGATTATGTCGGCCTTAGTCACAAACAGGACAACAAGATCGCTCCACTCATCCCACACTCATCTCCATTCATACTTGGCTTAAAATGCATACATTTGTATGGTCGCTATTTCAAAGCAACATGGCTACATTATCAATGACAATCGTGGAAAACCTTATACGAGTGTGAGTAAGTCCGAAAACAGAGTAAGTCCGAAAACAACTCTAAAAAACAATAAGCAATAAATTGCAAGAACCGTTGCTTATATCATTGGGTATACACGTATGTACTGACGTGTATACTCAATGCTTATATCGAACGTGTGGTTTCGAAACAGTGCCCTTGCAAACCCCCTCACCTATACCCAACCAGATCTGGTCGCGACAGGAACTTTGGCTACTGCCACTGGTATTGCTACTGCCACTGGTATTGCAGTTGTATGTGGAATATTTCTGCACAACAATTTACCCGTGTAAATTAACGGTAGTATACAAAATACGAAACGTGACAGTGGATTGGATACAATAGGGGATACAGTATACAGTATTTTGAATACAATAGGAGTACTCGTCAAACAGTTAAATATTATTATTTCTATGAATTTTATGGGTAACTTTAAAGATTAGGTGGAATTTCTAACAATATTTCACCGTAATCAGCAGCAAACATGCATAAGGAATTCAAGTTATTACAACAGACGCTCTGACAGCCCATCAACATAAGACCTGCAGACGGGTCAACGAATATGCTGAAAAAAAAAATAACGAGATAAGTGAGTGTAAGGCCAGGCGCACACAGGCGATTTTGAGTCGCGCAACAGTTGCCCGACTAAAATGTTCAACATTGTTTTAAATTGGAGTGCGCACACGAAGGAAACAGTCTGGGGACAGTCGCGCAACTGTTGCAACCGATGTTCCCGGACCCAATTTGCCAGCGACTGCTCTGCGACTCAATTGTTGCGGGACTATCGCTCCAGGTTTGGTATCCATTGAATCAAGTGTAGATGCGCACACATGCAACTAAATTGTCGCTCAGTCTCACCCCAGGAGTTCAACTACTCGTGGCCAGAACTGTCACTAGTGTTTGCTCTCTTGTTGTGTGAAGATTTTAGAAAATTACAAGTATGAGTGTGCGTGATGAGGATGTCGAACAATTAATTGATGAAGTTGAGAAGAGGCCGACTATATTTAAAGTCATTGAAACTGTCCTTTCACATATATATGGGATGAACCCAGTATCTTCTCTTTTTCTTTCGCGAGCGTAACTTCAGCAACAAAGCACATACTACGGCTGTATCATTGAAATCCATTCGGAACGCTGTAACGAATGTATTTCCAACACGTCTCTAGACTAGATCCGCGACTAAAAAGTTGCCTGTGTGCGCACTCCAGCTCAACTGTCGCTAGACTTCAGAGTCTCCGAGAGAGTTGTGCAACAGTCCCCCGATTAGTCGGGCAACTGTTGCGCAACTCAAAATCGCCTGTGTGCGCCTGGCCTAAAGTGACTATTTATATCCGGTCGTCATACGCCACGAGACATTCCGTCAGTGAATGGGAGGCCCACTCAAGGGTGAAGATCGATAACGCGCTGCATTTGGAATGGAATAAATTGCACAGGTCCTCGAAAAGTACTAACCCGAAAAAGTAAAGTGCCCAGAATGTCTTATACACATACGGAAATTCAAGTCCTCAAAATATTGCAATAGTGTATTTTCGTATAAATTCTTGAGACCCGAAAAAGTCAAGTCCCCAAAATGTCTCATACACTTACATATATATGAATTTGAAAGGATGGTGTTTTTGGCCTCTAGGGACTCAAAACGAAAAATTACATCGGTCCCAGGTCCAGGTGTTGCCATGAGTACTACGGTAATAGCTTATTCCATATATGCGAAATTCGCTAAAAACCTAATAATTCTGTAGAATAACTAGCTGTACCCGCTGGCTTTGCCCCGTTAACTAATTAATTTTCAAGATGAGCTCGTTCGCATGGCTCAATCACGTCCTGGTTGAAGTTCGTTCGCTACGCTCACTCACCTTTAGGTTGGAGCTCGTTCGCTGAGCTCACTTGCCTTGGGGTTAACTCGCCTCCAGGTTGAAGTTCGTTCGAAACGCTCTTTCAGCTTTTGGTTGCAAACTAGCTGTTGTCATAAATTGTTTAATTGACACAGCTGTTAAGATTCATTAATTCCTTTTAAATATGAAAAATCATAAGGTTAACATGGGAAACTCCAGAGCCACTGGGGCGAAGCTCGAATGCCCTATCATAATAAAAATTACTTAGTTTTCCTATTTAATGCCCAAAGAATCGGTGTATCGAATTTCAGCCTCCTAGGTAAATGGGAAGTGGGAGAATTAGTGATGATGAGTGAGTGAGAGTGAGTGTGTCAGTGAGGGCTTTGCCTTTTATAAGTATACATAGCACATTCAACCAGCTGTTAGTTAAAACAAATTATATTGGACTAAAACAAATCGATGATTACAAAGAATACTTTAAAAAATAATTTGAACATCCTACTACTGTATTTTACTATGCATATTTAATTAATCTACCATCCTCGTACCGAAGAATTAAATGTATCAATGGTCAGCATTACACATAGTATAAATAAACCAACCATAAGTATGTATTTGAATTTTCTTCCAAATGCTGAATTTGTGTCACAAATGCTGAATGTTACAGCTGTTGTGTTAAGCAAATTATATTGTACTAAAAGCTAGCTAGAAGCATTGACTTATTGGAGAAGGTTAGGCATCGGCTGCTAGACTTTTTAAAAACTAAAACTTAATTTATAAAAAAAACTGGGACACTAATTATAAATTATGGCTTTGAAATCCCCTAGTTCTCAAAATTGCCTTTCTTTCAACACATCCATCGTCTGGTTGATTCAGAATCGTGAAAAAACCCCCATTTACGTTTTAATAATATATATGATAGTTTGGACAGGTTTCAACCCTTCCGAGGCGTAATACATTTACACAGTTTATATGTAGACTACATTATAACTCATAACATAGTTCTACAATTAAATGGATCTCCTTTTACAAACGTATATAATAACCAGAAATTTTCAGATCGTCCTTGCGTGTATTTTATGCCACAAATTTTGACGAAAGGCTTTTCATTACATAAACTATACCTATTTACAGTGTTGACCAAACAGTTGGCAAGAAGCATTAATAGATAAGCTATGTACCAAATATGATAATTTTAGCTCTATTCTAATTATGACAAAACACGAAGTAACTAAAAGCAAGTTTTGTTGGTGTAGTAAGCGTTGCAGGAGGTCTACTTTACACTGAATCGACGTTCACTTTTATTGCTTTTGATCTTCCGGCACTGTTGACTCAGCGAAACTGAACTTGTATTTTACCGTATTTCGTTATATTAAAACTGCTGTTGCATTAGGTCAAATTCCCAATAAGTCAATTGCTTTAACATAGACCACGTTTTTAGCTCGGACTGTACTATTTGACTTACTGGGACTTTTGATCTACAGACACTGCAAACATTGTAGTTTTTGACCTAGCGGCACAGGTATAAATTATTTGATCTTCCGGGACTGTTGACTTTCAGCAACATTCCCTGCTGATACCATTTATTTTTTAATTTTTTTATCTTCACCCCTTCCTGAGTGCACCAACAAATGGAAACCAACGATTGAAAGAAGCTCACCTAACTTTAGGACAAGATTTTATGGGTATAACTAAACTTTCTTCCTTCCCAAATGACAAACTACTTTGAGGATGTAAATCTTATGGTGCTGTCCTCCTACTGATAGGTGCTGTGCAGAACAAACCATAAACATAAGACAGATTGTTCTATAAGTTTAACATTTTTCATTTTAATTGTAAACATGAATCGTCTTTATTTATTTTTTCTAGACCTCTGTACGCAAAAGCCAAATGATGACCGTTTACTACAAGCTTTGCAACTTCTTTTCTTATTGCTGCCCTCTGAAAACTGGAAAGTTTTAAGGGATATTATGGAACTTTTGCACTTGGTCGCGAGTCATGAGAATGAAAATAAGATGTCTGCTGACAATCTGGCAACGTTGTTCACACCACACCTGCTCTGTCCCAGGAAGGTTAGTGAAAATTTGTTATTATACATCAAATAGCTTTTAATTTTAGAAAGATATTCTATTGTCTAAAATCATTTGTTATGATATGTTGAATGTAGTTACAGATCAGGATTATTAAAGGTGGCTTTAGGGCCTACTGGTTTTAGAAACCCAAGTTTTAAGTTCTTCATTCTGTGTGTGTAGGTATGCCTTTTTGAAGTAGGTGGTTGGTATTTCTATGTTAGTAAAAATGCAAATAGGCCCACATAATGATCTGAAAAATTATTTTCAAAAAATATAAATAATTATATATCTTTTTTAACTAAAATTAAATTTGTAACAGTGTTAGTTTTCATGCTCAACTGACCAAACACTAAAAAAGCGCTTAATAATTGATTGAGTCAATTATGTTTAATTTAAGTAGTTGATTAGTTAATCATCCCAATACATATTTCATCATAAGCATTTTTTTGTCGTTTAGCTTCAGCCGGAAGCGTTCCATGCTACTTCACAAATGCTAAGCAAAGTAGTGGCATTTATGATATCAGCAGGACCTGAGCTCTTCAACATTCCTTCTTCTCTGGCTACAGATATTAAGATGTACTGGGAAAGAAGAAAACGGTCTCCTGAGAACTTTGTAAGTACAGTAGAACCTCTTTAATCCGAACTAAATGGGACCGAGGGTAGTTCGGATTATTGAATAGTTTGGATTACAGAACATATTGTTGTTTATACATAACAAAGCTAGGGAAAAGTGAAAAATGCTTTATAAACTAAAATACAGTGTTTATTTAATACAGTAGTAAATATAGGGAATAAACAGTACTATACATTACAATTTACAAGTAACTATAGTGCGTATATCAATAAATACAGTATACAATGAAGAACTACTGTACTGTGTATTGAGTACAGCAATGAGGCGCTCGGATTAGTGGACGTTCGAATTACAGGGGTTCGGACTAAAGAGGTTCTACTGTATAGTACTTAATTTTGATGGTTTTGAACGTGAACGATTGAAATGTTGGCCATAGTTTCACCACTTTTTAACAAAAATTGAAAGTTTCTCAGAAATAATTTTCATTCAGACATCAATATTGCATTATTATGCTACCTGGTAATATACAGAAAAAATTGTCTGTTATAAGTGCCAGATGTTAAAAATATTATTTTATGAAAGCTGTTGATTTGTGTTTTAATCACATAACAGATGAAAGCTTTTCAAATTAATTAAACTAAAATTTAACATTACAGCTGAATGAAAGCAGTGCTGCAACAACAGTGTTCAGCTTTGTGGACCGAGAGAGAACTGCGCAGGAGAATACAACCAATCCTACAGAGGCAGCTCTCGCACAGCTGTATGCTCACATTCAGTCTCTCCCAGAGAGCAGCAAGAAGCGGCGACTGGTCAAACAGTTCAATCGGGAAAATGGCAATGGCACACCCAACAACAACAGGGCACGTAGTATTGGAGATTCTATCAAGGTAAGACAGTTAGCTGCACAAAGCTGGGTAGGTTAACTCTAAACTACTATCATGTGACTTATTATCGACAGATGAAACAAACTCTTTATTATGAAACCAAATCACCTTCCTTTTTAAGAATTCAGTCATCTGATCAGACAAACTGTGAGTTTGTATTATTCCTTGTTTCAGAAACACATTTTCAACAAAACCGTGAAGCCTGCAAGAGGCTTTTGTGAGCTTGGACAGTTGAAAAAGAGATCTTGTAGTGAAGAGATTCTGAATGTAAGTAATATTTTGAGTTATGGATTGACAGTTGTTATTAGACTACTTTGTTACCGTAGCCTACTGTCAAAGATGTTAACTTGAACACACTTGGTTTTGGGCACGTTTTTGGTGAGCTATGAGTCATTAACTTGAAGAATCACTCTGGAGAGATTGTCTCTTAACAAACTATTCTTAACTTATAAATTCAGTAAAAAACAAACGGTATCAGCAATCTGATACATACTTTCTTCCATTAGCTTGTCAACAACCCTTATTACAGGTAACAGTGGGAGTACTATGATATTTTATAGGGGAAATCACAAAAGTTGCAATAATTTTGTTTACCGTAATTCTTAAAGCAATAAGGGTTGTACCTTTTTTCCATAGAAAAGAACTAGCAACCTAAAAAATTAATTTTGATCAAAATTGGCCGAGCAGTTTTTTATAATAAAATTTTCCTATTTTATCCTATCCTATACTACAATTTGAGCTATATCTGTTTGTCTGTCTGTCTGTAATATTTATCCTGAAATCGAGAGTGAAAGGATTTTGACTACATTTTGGAATTAGGGAGCCCTAAAAAAACGTAGTTGGGGACAGCCATTACCTCAGGAAGATTCGTATTCCGATTTTGCTACAAAGCTCATTTTAAAATATAACATTGTGGCCTTCTTATGGGTTGCTCAAGTAACTAAGTTGGTTCAACAAAATAACAAGGAAAAAGTAAACAAAGACAAAAGATTAATGATGTCATAGACAATCAACTATAGGTAACAATTAAATGTCATAATCGGCAAATATATCCGACCACCGTCTGCTGTATCAGAAAGGGTTAAAACCAATTAACCACAACCGAGCAAGGCTCAGTCGCCGGTACTGAGAAAATAAAATAATTAGCAATAACTATTGAAATGTAATTTTTAAAGCAAAGGCCGTTTTGTTTAAAGGGCTATTACCATTGACTATATAACACTACTAGATTGAAGACTATGCGGGAGGACGCGTGAACAGGAAATTTCTACAATGTACTCTGTTGTGCACGGTGGATGCACGTAGTACTGACCCCTCTACTTAGATCGCAGCACCGTCACCACGAAGTTCATGGAACCGTCGCCTGGCGCGCTGCAGTTGCTGCCAACTGGACTGGACTGAGCTTAGCGGCGGACTAGACTAGACTAAACTGTTGGACTAGACTCGGCGATGCGGAGCGGAGTGAACGATTGCCCGTGCTCGCGATGTACTCGGCGGCGGCGGCGCAGCTGTGTGAATGAGATGTAGGTCATTGCTCCTGATGTAGTAGGCTACTGCTGCGCGCGCAGGGTGTCTACCAACCGGGAAATCCGGGAAAACCGGGAATTGTACTTAATTTTTTACTGGCCATGAAATGTACGGGAATTGTCCTTAAATGCCAGACTATGTCCTTAAATTTTTAATGGGCCATAATTTTATCGATCGCTAGTTGGTTAGGAGCACATAAAAGGTTTATCAGATGTTTGTTTACATTTTCATAATTTATTACTAGAGTAATAAAAACCCCAATAAAAACCAAATATGCAATAAAAACCCCATTAGAATTCTCAAACCCATTAATATTTTATCACAACAATCAAGTGTCAAATCAAGTACTTCCAAGAACTGTTGACTCAGTAGTAGTTTAGCTCATAAAAGCTGTATGACTTTTATCCCTTACAACATTTATTTATTACTAGGGTAATCATTATTAGATCCCAAACATATTTTATCATGGAAATAATAGTTTTATAATGGCTGTTAAATTTCGCTTCTTACTTGTACTTCAATTTGCCGCTGGCCATTGCCTAGTGCCATAAAACTGTTTATGGTTTCATATAAAACATGTAACTAATCTTAAACATAACTAAGTTAAACCCTTTTTCTATGGATATTTTATCTTTCAATTGCAAAACCAAAAGCATCGGTTGTTTGCATTAAATTTTTATCACTACGTAGGCCTACTTGGTTTCAAATGATGTCATAGCATTTTCTGTATCTTTGTACATTGTTGGCAGTCAGGTTTCAATTTTTTTTATTTCCCATATTTATTTATTGAGTTGTATGCTTTAAGCAATCTAAATCTTATGAACTAGAATGATGATATTGTTTGTAGTGACTTTGCTGATATTATAACCTCATTGTTTGTTACTCAGTTAATATAGGCCCTCCTAAATAGTTAGGTCTAGGCCTGGGTATTTTGATTCTTTGAAAGTGCTGTAAAATTACTAAGAAAATGTAATTGAGCCTAAGATAAAGTAATGATTGCTATGTGTCGATATTAACTTTGCAGATGAAAAGACAATAATCTTACTCTGTGCTTACTGGTAGCCGCTTACCATACCGATTTTGTACCTAGAACCGAGTTACAATATATTCATTATGCATTAAAGATTTTTTTTTCAAAAGTAGTCGAGAACCTAACGTTGTGCCAGGGTGAATAATGCCAAATTAATCCGCCTGGATCGGATAAGCTATGTTATGATGTTTCCGTGACCGATGGAGATATTTAGGATTTTGTCGCTATTGCAGGAGACAATGATTGCATTTTCTGTTACACTATAAAAGCTGTACCTAAAGTATATGTTTGTTTACTTTCAATAAGTTTCTATTTTGAAATTTAATTCTTGTCTATTATTATTTACTTTTCTCTCTGGAACAACTACGAAGAACAAGATTAATACAGTTTGACAAATCAGGAATATTATTCTGCAATCACGCCGACAAAGGTCCTTAAATGTACGGGAATTGTCCATGAATTTTTTATCCAGAATGTAGTAGACACCCTGGCGCGCGATACCGCGTTTTGTTCACTCATTTGCACGTACCGTCCGTATGCTTGGTACGGTACGAGTTTATTCAGGAGGGTATAGCAAATCTTTGACAACTTATTTTTAATTTCTCCCCATATTAGTTAGTACATAGATAAAGTATTGTTTACCCCAAAATTTTCGAGTATGAGTTTTGAGTGGATATATCCACTAAATTGATGTCTGAAATCACTGAACGATTTTGAAAAAAATAGTACTGTAGTATGTTGTAACTTAGAACAAAATAGTACAACTCCAATTTCTGTAAAAATTACGGTTAAAATTCCATTGTAAATTATGGTATTTCAACAAAATATCCCTTAATACAAGAAAAAATTTTAATTTCTAAAGAAAACCCCTGTTTTGATTGAATTAAGTACTCGTATGTGATAATCCTTTTTATTCTTAACAACATCTAGTGCAGCCCCATATTCCGGTAAAAACTACGGTTCAAAAGTTCTTGAAACTTATGTTATTTTCCCATAAAACTATGACAAAACCGAGAAATGGATTTTTGAAAAAAAAATCAATTCTGATTGAAATTCTTCTGTGATGGATGGTCCTTATAATTCTAAAGCAAATAGTGCAAAATGTATTCATTCTAAAAATGATCATCGTAAAAATCTTTAACAATAACAACGCTTAGTGAAGGTTAGTAATTTCTTTACTCCAAACACATAATCGAAAGATAAATTGAATTAACAGAAAAATGATTTATTATTTGCTTATGTACAGTACAAAGAAAACTTGTTGAGTCCAAACTGTTGTTTGGATCTCCCAGACTGTAAAACACCCCCGCTGCATAGTCAATGCCCACAGGGACGTGACCGCGAGGATATCTCGGCTTTTGTAAGCTGTGGTACGGTGAAAGTGTACGATCCCTCGTTTATGACCCTATGATTTAGCAAATGAAGACCCCACATCGGCAGCTACAGACAACCCAATGTATAAAAATATAAAACACCCTGGTCAAAAATTTTGTTCTGCTGCATACAAATAAATGTTTTTTTAATGCGTTAAAAGAAAATATACTCCTGCATACGCTGGGGTTCTCGTTATCTGGTTTGAAAAATAATGTGACAAATCTGCATTGCAAAATAATTCAGGCATTTTGCATTACACTTTTTACAAAGTGATGTGATACTTAAATTGAAATAGTGGTAAATGAAATTTAAAAAAATTGTGTAAAAATAGTATTTATTACGTATAACCATGAATATAATGAGTGTAAATAGTAATGAAAATGTATAAATAATAACATGCACAAAGAACAAAGCACATATCTACAGTTAATAAAAGCAAAAAAATAGTGAATCAACGATTGAATAATTTAAATCGCGAATATAGTTTATATTGTAGACGATTTTTTATATTTTAGGCACTGAGGAGGTTAGTTGAATTGGCTTATAATTTTTAAATAATTATATTAAAAATACTATGCATTTGTGTTTATTTAATTAAATTAAATAAATGTGTTACCTAAAATGAAATATGTGAATCACTTTTTAAATAAAGCCCATAAAGTTTAATACTTATACTGTACCTCTGAAAGATAACTGAGACTTACAAATACCCCCGCCGCAGCAAACCTGCCGACTAAGCGAATTTCCATTTGTCTTAATTGATTTTCAATTAAATCTATTTTAATAACATTAGGTTTAACGAGTACCTAGGTTTGCTGCTACAAGGAAACTAATAAAGTGTGTTTTTTTGTAAAATATTGATAGCTTAGTACAAAATAAATAAATAAATCAAAATACAAAATATATCCATAAACAAGCAAACTACAACTTTTGACAATATTCTCCATAAAAATAACATGGGAATTTTAAATTTACAATTTTTTTTAATTTTCTCCGTTACTATTAATCGAACAAAAATACATTTATATACTAAATTAATTGTTTTTTAAGCTCTTTAAAACGGTCTAAAGAGAAATTGGAAAATTTTGTGTTTTGAGGGTCAAAAGTGAGAAAAACCAATTTTTACCCCATAAAACCCCCCGTAAAGCCCCGTTCCCATGGTCCGATCATGCTGGTTCGCGAACTCATTCAAGTAAATTCGCTAAAAACAAAAAAAAAACAAATACAGGTCTTGCCGCGGTAAGAAAACGTAAAGTACAAATTATTAGATGTGTTTAGATGTGTGTTACTAAAACTTTAAAAGTAAACAAATTTTACTTAATAGCGTAGTTTTTCA